TCCATCCCTTCACTCTCACCCTGTGTGAGTCTTTTGTTCTGAGATGGGTCTCTTGTAGATAGCATATAGGTGGGTTGTGTTGTTGTATCTATTCAGCTACCCTATTTCTTTTGATAGGAGCATTTAGTTCATTTACATTTAAGGTTATTATTGATAAGTACTTATTTGTTGCCATTTTGATTCTGTATGCCTAGGTTTCTCTATTTTTTCTTCTCATTACAGCAGTCCCTTTAGCATTTCTTGTAGTGCTGGATTGGTGGTGATGAACTCCTTTAGCCTTTTTTTTGGTCTGGGAAGCTATTTCACTATCTATTTTGAATGAAAGCCTTGTTGTGTATATCTTGGTTTCAGATCCTTGGTTTCCATTACCTTGAGTATTTCATACCATTCCCTTCTGTCCTGTAGACTTTCTGATGAATTTTAGCCTTATGGGAGCTCCTTTGTAGGTAACAGTTTGCTTTTCTCTTGCTGCCTTTAAGATTCTTTGTCTTTAATTTTTGGCATTTTAATTATGATGTGTCTGGGTGTGGGACTGTTTGGGTTCTTCTTGCTTGGGGTTCTCTGTGCCTCCTGAACTTTTGTGACTTTTTCCTTCACTTGGTTAGGGATGTTTTCTGCCATTATTTCTTCATACATGTTCTCTATTTTTGCTCCCTTTCTGCCTCTTCTGGCATGGTTACTGTATGAATATTGTTACATTTCATATTGTCCCACAGCTCCCTTAAGTCCACCACCTGGGCAAGTGCCCTGATGGGGAATCAGACCGTGACCTCCTGGTTCATAGGTGGATGTGCAACCATTGAGCCACGCCAGCTGGGCCACGGGCCACACTTTGAATAGCATGATTCTAGAATAACTTCACCCCATTCCCTTCATCCCTTGCTCCGTGCCCCTTTAGTGTGTCCTATCTTTTCAACAGGGTGGGGCAATTGCTTCTGCAAAGAGGCTAATGGTCATTCTCAGTCTCTCTCTTTTTTTTAATTTCTTAAAGTATTACAAAGAGTATTACACATGTCTCCTTTTTTCTCCCCCTTGACATTCCTCCGGCTTCCCCCACCCCCCAGTGTCTTGTGTCCATTAGTTATTCTCATATGCATGCATATAAGTCCTTCGGTTGATCTCCTACTCCCCCCAACTCTCCCCAGGTTCCCACTGTAGTTTGACATTCTGCTCAATGCTGCTCTGCCTCTGTATCCATTTTCGTTCATCAGTCTATAATGTTTCTTATTATCCATAAATGAGCGAGTTCATGTGGTATTTTTCTCAGCTTCCCAGGGGCTGTCTCAGTCTCACAGGGGCCATCTCAGCCTCACAGGGGCCGTCCCTGCCTCACCAGGGCCGTTTCAACCTCACCGGGGCCGTTTCAACCTCACCGGGGCCGATTCAACCTCACCGGGGCCGTCTCAGCCTCACCGGGGCCGTCTCAACCTCACTGGGGCCGTTTCAGCCTCACCGGGGCCATTAAACCTCACCGGGGCCGTTGCAACCCCACCGGGGCCATCCCAGCCTCACCAGGTCCGTCCCGGCCTCACCGGGTCTGTCCTGGCCTCACAGGGGCTGTCTCGACCTCACAGGGGCCGTCTCGACCTCACAGGGGCCGTTTCAATCTCACCGGGGCCATTTCAACCTCGCCAGGGCAGTTGCAACCTCACCAGGGCCGTCGCAACCTCACCGGGGCCGTCGCAACCTCACCGGGGCCGTCTCAACCTCACCGGGGCTGTTTCAGCCTCACCGGGGCCGATTCGACCTCACCGGGGCCGTCTCGACCTCACAGGGGCTGTCTCAACCTCACTGGGGCCGATTCAAACTCACCGGGGCCGTCTCACCCTCACCGGGGCCGTCTCAACCTCACCGGGGCCATTTCTGCCTCACCGGGGCCGTTTCAGCCTCACCAGGCCCGTTTCAACCTCACCGGGGCTATTTCAACCTCACCGGGGCGTCTCAACCCCACTGGGGCCATCCCACCCCCACCGGGGCTGTCCCAGTCTCACCGGGGCCGCCTCAGCCTCACCGGGGCCATCCCAGCCTCT